TTTCCTGAAAATAAACACATACATTTGGAAAAAATTGTTTTTGGCATTGTATATATATTCAAAAAAGTAATAATGTAATAATACTTACGTCTCTTTTCTTCACAATCAATGCTTCCTGTGCATCCGCTTTTATGTCGTATCGCCCCAGCACCGCCTCATGGTGGGCCTTGCTATTTTCGTACCGTCTATGCTGTCGGGATGCAGTTGGACTGCATCAGCTGTTCGGAGGCTGGCCGATGAGAGTCGAGCCGAGTAGTGACCCCCGTGGCCCCGACACCACCCGGTTGCCACCATCCCCCCTATCCCCTCACCCTTGTATATTATGTAGATAATAAATATTTATATAAAATATTGTAACTCGCTACACATCAGGTTAAAGGGAGTAGCTAATCTTTTATACCTGACATGGAGGTGCCAGGGAGATTTCTTTTTCTTTACACCCCTACATTTTCTTATTGGGAGTAAAATTACACCCCCCCTTCGCCCAACCCGCCTACCTTTTCGTCACTCTGCGACGTGTGAGTTGTTTATTTTTTTATATAGTAACCACTAAAGTGTTTGCAGTGCGTGAAAAAAAATAGTGAAATAGTTATCATTTTTTTTTCAGAAATGTGAACATTGTTCCAAAACAATTGGAAAAAAATTTTTACGTAGTGTATATACATTATGTTCCCAAGTCTACAAAAGTCCTTGCGGGCAGTCCCAGTGTCCCTAAATACAATACCGCTCATAATTCGTCAAAAAAGTCGCCGGACTGCGGCGGAGTGCGCTAGAGTGCGTCGGAGTGTGGCGGAGTGTGGCGCAGAGCGCCGGAGTGCGTCGGAGTGTGGCGGACTGCGGCGGAGTGCGCTAGAGTGCGGCGGAGTGCGCCGCACTCCGGCGACTTTTTTGACGAATTATGATCGGTATTGTATATGGAGTGAGTGGAAGGAAATACACATACAATACCGCTCATAGAATGTGCGAAATTTCCGTAAATGTCGCGAAATTCCGAAAATATCGCGAAATTCCGAAAATTCCGCGAACTTTCCGGAATTTCGCGAAGTTTCGCGAAATTCCAGGAATTTCGCGGAATTTCGGGAATTTCGCGGTATTCACGGAAATTTTGCATACTTTGTGAGCGGTATTGTATAGTAATATCATAAGTGGGCGGGGCTTACAGTTCACAGCTAAAAAGCGAAAAATCGATATTTTGGAGGTTGATGAACCACCAAATCCTCAAAAATAGATAGAATCGGTCTTCTGAGGGCTGTAAAATCCCGAAAATCGACAAAAATCGATAAAATCGATATTTTGAAGGTTGCGAAATCCCAGAAATTGACGAAAATCGATATCCCAAAAATCGGCAAAATTGATAAAATCGATATTTTGAAGGTTTCAAAATCCCGAAAATTGACAAAATTCGATAAAATCGATATTCTGAAGGTTTCGAGATTTCGGAAATCGGTAAAATTATCGAAAAACTAAGCGAAAAATTCGAAAAACTCCATAATAAGCTCATTTCCAGTGCTTTTATACAGCTGAATCTCCTCCAAGCAAGCTCCGCCCACTTTATGCCCCCACATCACGATCGAAATTGAAGAAAATAAGAAAAATTAAGAAAAAATAAGGGAAAATAAGCGAAAATCGCGTTTTTCTAAGCTTATTTACCCCTTTCTAGCCGGTTTCAGCCCCCTAACCAGGTCCAGATGGCCGCGGGTAACTATCACACGCGCTGCACAAATAAAGAGAGGGGGAAAAATGAGGGGGGGGGGGGAGAAAGAGGAGAAATTGCGAGACCCTGAACTAAAAAAAAAAAAGTTCGGGAAGGTTTATAGATGGGCTCCCACAGGCGGAGCCCCTACATTTTCTCCGAATTATATGTGGTGTCCCCCTCGAATACAAACTGAAGAATGGCTATCCCAGCCCGTCATCCCTGGTCTCCACGGAGATAAAATTCAAAATATGCACTATCGCCTTTATATAGCGCCTCCTACAGGGAATCTCTAGGCACAAGCTACCCCCAGAAAAATAGAGCTACAAAAACTACATGTCAGTGGCCACATGAAATTACCCCAGCCCTGCAACTCGTAGAGATATAAAGCGCCGAAGTCGCCCTTGTTGACAGATTTCCCAAGTTCGGCTGTCAATTAGGCACTTTTAATGGAAATTTGTTATCCTACGACCTTCTCTCTAAAAATCATATTTTCAGAGATCTGTCGAATAAAACAAACCCCAGCCCCGTAGCTGTAATATTCGCAGAGTTATTAGCCCCCCAACATGCATGCTCAGGACGTAAAATCGGCTCTCCCAAAGTTGCCCCGTAATTCCCCCAAAAATCACGTTAGACACCTGTTTCATACTTATACATTACATATTTTTTCCAGCTTCTTAGAAGCAATACACATTGATATAGCGCGATCGCTCCTCACTCTTGGCCTCGGCGCAAAATTTGGTCAAAATATTGAGGTTTTCGGATTGACCGCAAACTTCACTCATAGTGGTTCTTGGTCCCGATCTTTACGAAAATCCTAATTATTTTGCACTAGAGAGTCTTACAGTAAAGCTAAAGTGAGATAGAAGTAGCTGAACCAATCAAGATCGCAACTTCGCCTGCACTTTTCCCCTACCTGTTGCGGAAATTGTCTGCAAATTTTTGTGAGTTGAAAACTTTGTGAACACCTCTATCGGACCATGCTTAGCACAGATCTTTATTTGAATTGTTCGTCAGATTATGATGTTACAAAATCGCCTTCTCATGAATTCTCTTTCAAATTCGAGTCGTGTAATTTGGCAGATATTCTATCCTACAATGTGCCACCAGCAGCAAAACAATGTAAGAAATGTTGTTAGCACGTCGAGTACAATACCGCTCACAATGTGCAAAATTTCCCTGAATATCGTGAAATTCCGAAAATTCCTCGAAATTCCCGGAATTTCGCGAAACGTCGCGAACTTTCAGGAGTTTCGCGAAATTCCAGAAAGTTCGCGGAATTTTCGGAATTTCGCGACATTCACGGAAATTTTGCAAGTTATGTGAATGGTATTGTAGAATGCAAGAAGATGCCCAACGTTTGTTACAAGAGCGCAACGATACCAGTGTGGAAGAACAAGGGGGATATAACAGACTGCTCTACATACAATACCGCTCATAATTCGTCAAAAAAAGTCGCCGGACTGCGGCGGAGTGCGCTAGAGTGCGTCGGAGTGTGGCGGAGTGTGGCGCAGTGCGCCGGAGTGCGTCGGAGTGTGGCGGACTGCGGCGGAGTGCGCTAGAGTGCGTCGGAGTGTGGCGGAGTGCGGCGGAGTGCGGCGGAGTGCGCCGCACTCCGGCGACTTTTTTGACGAATTATGATCGGTATTGTAATACATATACAGAACTAAATTAATTAGCTCGCCCACTTTCTATAGATTTACCATATTATTGATGATCAAATCATAAAATGCTATATATTCTTGCGCCCTACTTTTGCATAGTCGGCTAATTACCATCGGCAATACATTATGACGCGCGAAACATATAAGTAATGCCTCGCGAGTGAAAATTACTATCCATATGCAAACAATGCTTTCTTTTATTACCAATACAAATGTAATAATTCTTTTTTCTAGGGAAATTTCCGCATAAAATTCAAATTATTTTCTGTTTTTCAATGAGTGTCGGACACACTCTTGCTTAAGCAAGTAAAATATCTATATCTATACATAATCATTTAATAGCGCCCTGTGTTAGTATCTCTGGGGGATACTTACATAGAAGTTGATATTATTAGTGAGCAGATATCAAGGCATTGTCTTATAACCTGTACTTAGGTATATACTTTATTTATATCGTTTTTTCTCATCTTTTGGACTGGACTGCGCACTGTAGCTACTGTCACCACACCAGTGTTTACATGCAATCTGGAAGGACAGAATCCGCCAGATACACACTCAGACAATCGCCGGGGGCAGGGGGGCACCGGAAAAATACATTGCTGATTTCTCGCACCAAGCTCGCGGATTTTTTGGAAAGCAATCAGGACTTTTCGGAAGACCGCTTGCTGAGTTCTCGAATTCTCAGAGATTCAGCAATATATCTGCAAAAGACAAGAGCGAAAAAAATTCAACAGGCGGTCTCTCAAAAATCCGCTGACTCAGCAAGCGGTCTTCCGAAAAGTCCTGATTGCTTTCCAAAAAATCCGCGAGCGGGGTGCGAGAAATCAGCAATCTATTTTTCCGGTGCCCACCTGCCCCCAGCGATTGTCTGAGCATATGTAACACAGCCAGGCGACCTCTAATCCTTGATCCTATCAAACCTATTGCTGCAACAACTGTCCGCGCGCGTACAAAACAATCATAACTCAACGCTTAAGTGTAAGCAAAGTGACCTGACAACCGAATCGAGAGTAATGCTAGCGCCTGCTCAAACTCGGTGACCTTTCTTACAATATATGAAATAATTGCACAGCTGTCTAGATTACAATCACGACACCCAGGATTAGGCATAGGAAATTTATTGCCTACAATATTACACCACTTTTCTGATATCAGCTGCCCAGAACAGAATGACGACAAACTTTATTACACAAAATAGTTACATTGAATGGGGAAAGGCACATTTGAAAGACACCTACAGATTCCTGTACGGCTTATTGGCAGCATCCAAAGCCCGAATGACTGTATCGAGCCCGAGGAGGTTGACAAAGTAGACGCCACTGACGTTCTCAACACTGCGTTTCAACAACGCAGCCATCCTCGGAGGCATGTACATAAATCCTCCTAGATTTATGATAGTTACATGCCCGAAGTGGAGTTTCATTCCTGGTCGGTCCCCGTCATACGTTGTCGTCATCGACTTCCTCCCAGTTATAGGGGGTCCCGTCGTTGCGCTCCATTAAATCTAAACGTTAACGTCTTTAGTACCACTCTCTCAAAATTTAAACATTAAAAGAAACAAATAATGTTCATTCATCTTACCACTAATGGTCGTATTGTCGACCATTAGGAGCGTCAACAAAGCCCTACCATCTCGCTGAATTTCAATGGTGGATTTCTCCCCATTGATCGAGATAGGTAGGCCAGGAGGAGCCGTCCTCCTGGGACTGCCGGAATACGTTCTCCAATGGGTTGCCCCTCTTGAGTGGCAGAAAGCATCGCGCCCTCCTCAAATCATCGACCATCCACTCGCTCTCCTTCAATGGAAAAGAGCATCATAAGTAAAACACAATTACAGCCACACTACTTACCTTTCTAAGTGAGACGATGATGTCCTCCCTGGCCTTCAGTCGAGCTTCGTATTCCTCCACAACCCCTTCGTGCTCCACAGCAGTTTCGTACTCCGTTCTAACACCGTTTCTATGCCAGCTTCGCATTGGGCGCGGGTGGACAATTCTTCCTCCAGAGCACGCACCGTTTCCTCCAGGACGCGTATTTGACTTGCCTGGCTTTCTATCGTTGCCCTCAGGCGCAGAATTTCTTCCATCTCACTTACCTAAATATAAACATTAAAAAAAACGAAGTTTTTTTTTCTTTCTCTTTCTCTCCAAAAAATAAACACTGAACAATTTGAGTTTATACTTACGGAGGAGTACTGTGAACCTGGAGAAACACTTTTCCAGCCCGGGGAGACAATATTGCTCCAATCGGGTGACTCCGGCGACCAGTTTGAAGGAGTCGGAGATGAGAATGGAGTTCCGTTGTTTTCGCGACCGATACACGACATTTTATCTGAAAAAAAAAAACCATTTTTTTCTCACCCCACTCTCCAAACTTTGCCCCATTGTTGAATGAAAAACAAGTGTGCTATGCCCAATTCAACATTGGAAATACATTAATCGTGTTATATAAACGTTATGTTATAAACTTGCAATGATACTATTTTGTTATATACGCTAGCATACATATTTATGTACCCACTTACATGTAATATATTAGGTTGCAAAGAAAGTTCCCGGGCACTTGCGAAAATTTTTTTCAAGTCGCTGTAACTTTGTGCAGATTGCTTATTTTTTGAAACTGCAAACTTCATTGCAAAGACAATTTTATCTACAACATATATTTGTCTTGCTGGCTTTTCAGCACCTCACTGCGGTACACCAGCATGCGCAGAAAGGAAAAAGGTCGTCGCGAAAAGTGGCCTATTTGTGCAGGCTTATCTCAAGCAGGATGAGAGCTGGAAAACCCAGATGCTGTAGTTATACAGAGGTCTGCTGGAGCTGTTTTGGGGACCATTCATGTTCTTGCAGGACCACCTGCAAAAATTTTTTTTCCAGAAAGTTCGAAAAATCGACCATTTTTTGCCCCTAAAATTGCACCATTTTTCGAGTAAGTGACTTTACAGTCTTGTCGTTCTGCATAGGGTGAACCAAATCTTTGTTACTGTGAACATTGTTGGAGTAATGCCTTACACATCTTTTGGACCCATCATCCAGCCGTGCCGATCCCTGCAGAAGCGACGCCAGCTGCGAAAAGAGTTGTAGTCAGAGGCAAGTTTGACAGCTTGTAATTTCGGAGCGCAAATCGCAAAACCCGAGTGCAGCTGCGGATCAGAAGTTAACAGGCCTCTCAATTAGATCACCCATAATTTGGACGAAATTCTTTGAACTGCACAAAAACATGGCCGTAGAACGAAAAATTGTGGAATTTATGGTTGGAAAGATTTCACCTTTTGATGCGGATCAAACACGTCTTGGCAATGATAAAAATCAGAAGCCGTATTGAAAGCTTTAGGCTTCCCTCTACTGAACAGTATAATAAACTTGGTGTCAAAGTCCGACCGAGCGCCAGAAAAATGCGTTTGAAAATGAAATTTTCAAAAGTGCCCGGGAACTTTCTTTACAACCTAATAATTACACTATTTCTAGAGACCATATTACTCACTATTATGCAATATTTTGTTACGTATCACCTATATCTGTATAATTTACATAGTATAATAAGACAGTCATGCTATTGTAGCGATTATATCTTGTACACGCCATGGGTTATATTCTGCCAACTTTGAACCTCACTTCATGATACCCCACTTCCTGACACACTGTCCTTCGTCAACGCCTAAAAATTCCAAAAGGATATCCTACAATCCTTAGTCCAGCTTAACCATCCTGCTTCCCATATGACATCCTTTAATGCGAATTTTCACCATCCCTGACAATCCTCGCTCGAGGACGAGCTTCTTCAATGCCCTGGGAGAAGTCGTAGCCATTTCCATGGTTCACTGATCTCTCATCCTCGGTAGCTCACCCTCACGTACACCATCATCCTCGAATCGTATGCCTATCGTCAATCTTGAAGATGTTCTCGCCGTAAACCGCGTGTCCAACCATCTATGCACGCTACCCGGAAGAACAACCGCACAAATCTAACTCGCTCGAGGACGAGCTTCTCGAAGGAATGGAAATGTCGGGATGCAGTTGGACTGCATCAGCTGTTCGGAGGCTGGCCGACGAGAGTCGAGCCGAGTAGTGACCCCCGTGGCCCCGACACCACCCGGTTGCCACCATTGCCCCTATCCCCTCACCCTTGTATATTATGCAGATAATAAATATTTATATAAAATATTGTAACCCGCTACACATCAGGGGGTGGAGGACATTAGGTCGCCGAATTTGGAAGAGTCCCGCGCGGATTCCCTGCAGGAACGCATGTCCGCGCATGTACAAGGGTGCGTATTTGTCGCAAATGACCGCGGGGACCGCCCTTTTTCGGCGACCTAATGTCCTCTACCCCACATCAGGTTAAGGGGAGTAGCTAACCTTTAATACGTGACAATGCTGAACTTGCAGTTGCTCTTGCAGCCGGTTGGGGCAGTTCTGCTGCATATATAAGGCCAGCCACGGGAAAGCAGCACGCGGAGCCCAGCTGCGTCCCAACATGGGGTGAAGGTCGCTGTTTGGTTATCCCTAAACCAACTCTTCCACTTAATCAGTCTGAAGATAATGTACCGAAATCGAAGTTCTCTATGGTCTCGCCGTAACACGTGTAAAGGATATTCGTCTGCCCCGATTCGTGCAATTACACCACCTTGGGCATGCCTTATTGGGGCCTTTTCAGCTTGACAGTACGCTGCAGCGCGCGGGGACTTGGTAGCTCGCAACATCCCTGTCCTTTCCCTGTCTTGTCCTGTCCTACTGTAAAGCTAGAAAGGATCCAAAAAGCACGCCCACGGTGACGTAATTGCACTAGTTGGGGCAGTCGTCGACGAATATCCTTTACTTCTTACGCACGTACCTCGAAAGACGTTCAGCAACAGCTGAAAAAGCTCGAGGACGAGTTTTCTGAAGGAGCAGATGTCGTGACGCAGCTAAGCTCCGCCTGCAGCTCTCCCGTGAGCTGGCCGAGAAGGTCAAATATGAGCCAGTGACCGTCTACACCGCGCCCCATAAGGCTGTTTTGTCAGTCTTCCCCCTTCCCCTTGATTGTAATATATGTAGATAATAAATATATATAATACCAACCTGTACCGCTACACATCAAGCTAGACCCCGTACACCCCTAACTTGACAAAGTACAACACTCACCAATTCCCAAAAACTTTTAAAGATGTAGTAGAAGCAAGATTCTACCAGATATTTCGATACAACAAAAGATTTCTCACTAGAAGGAAGATATGGGATGATTGCAAAACAGATGACATCGCAATATACATACTTCTCACGCTCAGATAACCGCCGGGGGCAGGCGGCCATGCGAATTTCGAGCAAGCGCGCACCGGAAAAATAGTTCGTTGATTTTTTGCGGCTCGCTTGCAGAAATTTGGAAGAAAGTTGGCGAAATCAAAGACGAATGCTTGAAGAACAATCGCGGTTTCTTTATGGATTAGCTGCGGCGCAGTGGCCGCATTCTCGCGGACTTTCCGCGAAAATATGCAAAAATTTCGAGGGCCGCACGGCCCTTTGTGGAGGACCGCGCAACCCCCAGGTACTTTCCGCTGAGAGAAAGTACCTCAAACTTGAGTAATTAAACCAACGGTGACACCTTTGCCACACAGAGTCTTATCTGCGCTCGACGTACGCCCGAAAATGCCTTGAAAGAGTCCGAGCGCTTGCTGAAAGTTTGGCCAGCGCTCGCTGAAAGAAATTTTTTGCCGAGCGCTTGCAAAAAATGCTGTATTGCTGCCCTCTGGCAGAATATGCGACCGTAAAGGAAGTGCCGCCCGCTGAAGGTTTGGCCACGCCCCAAAATTCTGCTGACCGCCTGCAGAAAAGCGCGATTGCGGACCGCCTGCCCCCGGCGATTATCTGAGCGGGCACATAGATCGATAAGGTGTGATAATTAGTAAATAGAGAGACGTTCAAGAGATCCAGCAACACGATATCGATGAAATAGGCGATTTCCCAAGTCGCCAACATCTTCGGTAATCTTGACATGTTAAAGACAGCTTCACTGAGTCTGCAGCCGCTTTCCTTAAAGGAATTCGAACACTGATTGCAAAGAAAATCTCGATTAAATTCACTTGGTCGGCCTAAGTATACGCTATAACTATCCGCGTTAGAATTAGTTAGAAAGAAGTAGATATGTGAGAAGTAATAGATGTAGAGTTGAATACCGTAAACACTCAAAAATAAAATTAATATTTCCACGCCGTAAATAGCTCACGAACAAAATTTGGTATTTTCCCGCCTTGAGAGGGTATTTGTTTACGGTAAGAGGCATTTTCTGTGCGCACTGTTCCTGCTTCGAATTCTACGAAAAAATCTAAAGTGTCTGTGCACAGTGCATGCTTTCTGCTGTTCATTTAACCTAGTGTTCGCCGCTTATGCCATTTTGTCGTTCGATGACGAAATTGCAGATTTTTACTTTTGAAAAAAAGCTAACATCAGGAGTTGATTGGTGCACATCACTGAGACATTGACGGTAAATTTTAACAGGTAGGAACCAAGGAACTTCATTCATGACCACGACTCCGTTTTACTTCTCTTGAGATTTTCAGTTTTTGGAGAGAAACTCTTGGTTTTGAGATGGAACTTCTTTGTAGAAAAGAACAGCGAAAGCTCTCTTCCGTAGTCAAAAGAGAGCTTTTTGCATCCGCGATACATAGTTTCAAAGCAGTTCGCATCGCTATACTGTTATTCGATTGGAAGGATGGTATTTTTTCTTATAACTTAGTTCGTAAGAATTTGAGAAGTTCAAACGGTGCTGATGTCAGCTGAATAACAAGGTTTTCGAAATCAACCTTATAAACATCCTTGCCCATTGTCGCATTTTGCGGCGCAAATGCGACCCGGGATATCAATTCATGTTTGCGTAGCGTCCGTTTTGGACGCTACGCCCTCTTGTGCTATGCTGATAAGAATAAAACAGTCTACCACTAACCACCTTCGTGCACACACGACATTTTTGGTGCATCGGCCAAAGCCGAAAAAAGAAAAGTAAGTTTCCTCGTCTACGCCAAGTTCGTAGACGAGTCACCACAGGCAGTCTAACCTGCCCAAAAAGATCCCTAGTGGTCTTAAAAATCGACTCCTAGCGGTCGTCCTCTTCCCTAGTGAAGATGGAAGCGGTTCTCTATAAGAGACCGATAGCAATCAGCGTTCATACGCTGACAACCTTGACAGCAAACTTCAAGGTATACGCGGAACCAATTGCGTTCTCGCAAGACGAACAATCCCAACTCGATGAAGCCCAAGCGGCCATCGACCTCATAAGTGGGGGGATTAACCAACTAAACAAAGCCAAAGAGGATCTAAAAAGCCTCCTAAACCAATTCAAAGAGTACTATAGCACGAGCACAAAAGACGAAAAGAAAAACTTGAACAACGCTATCGAGGAGATAGAAAGGGAGACCAATTTCAATGAGGTCTTAGGAAAAGCAACAGAGATGGTCTTCATGCTGGAGTCACGCATGACTGAGGCCAAAAGCGCAAAAAACAGACTGATGCGAAAAATTTCACTGGATAACCGTCCAGATATGTTCAAAAGCATGGAAGCAGATGAGATACAAAGAAAAAATTCTCAAGAACAAGTGATTGATGACACCCCAATGATTACCAGTCAGGGGTCAGAATGGCTATCAGAAGATAGCAGCGCCAGCGCAAGTAGCCAGCGTAACGATGCGCAAACAAACAACAACGTAAAAACACCAGTGCTAACATTACCCAAGTTCTTCGGAGTGGAAGAAGACTTCCCCGAATTTTGGGCAATTTTCGAAACATTAATACACAATAACAAGAACCTATCCACAGTGGAAAAAATGATGTACCTGAGAGACAGCCTCAAAGGCAAATCGGACAATGCTATAAAGGGCATCCAATTAATTCCACAAAACTATAACTGGATGATCGACACACTGCAAAAGAAGTACGGCAATAAGCCTACAAACAGAGCAAGGATCGTACAACGCCTAGCATTTCTGCGACCCGCAAATAGCAGCGCAGATAGCTGCACATACGTATTCGACAAAATCTCCATGCTGATTAACCAAATGGTATCAGCGGGTCAGGATATTCGTAAGACCAAGGATGCAATGTGGACAGAAAACATTTTGCAAAAGTTCCCACACGAAATCGTAAAAAATGTCCTCATATCCCTCAAGGATAGGGATGAGGTACAGATTGAAGATCTCATGGCACAAATCGAAAACGAAATCTCAGCCAAAGTTTACGTGGAATCAAGAATGAAAGGATACATGCCAAAAAACACTCACTTCCAAAGCGAAAGCCGTCAGCATGTCAACAGACATGAAGAAACCACATCGTCGTCCTTTCCTCCGAAATCCACTCAGAAATGCGCGTTCTGTGCAAACTCAGGACATTTATCAGTGAAATGTCGCACGATTACAGACATAAATGAACGCCGCAAACTGCTCCTCGAAAAAGGCCTCTGCTGGAAGTGCTTTTCCAACACGCACACCAGCGCTCAGTGTCAGAAACCCGACTGCCCTCTCTGCAGTCGCAAACACCACTCCTGCGTATGCTTCACAAGCAAATCGAACGCAAAAGACATCGCTCAAAATCGCGGCAATCACAATGCTAATTTAAGTGAACGAAGAAACTATTCTCAACCACAAAATAATTTCTCCAGTGACGCACGCTTAAGAGCGTCAGCACCACGATTTCAACCTACAAATCACCTCAACGCTGAGATCGAGGACAATCCCAAATCACCCAAAGAACAAGTCATACTAATGACAGCAGAGGGCAACATATTGAATAGAAATACCGGAGAATTCGAAAAAGTCCTCTTCTTTTTCGATACTGGCGCGCAGAGAACGGTCATAAAAGAGGACCTTGCCACCAGACTAGGTCTGCCTACAATGCGTACGGAAACGTGCGTAATGTCCGGAATCGGCGGGCATACGGAAACTTTCCAAACAAGCATAGTAGCTATCAAGGTAGGCACAGCATACGGGAAAGATTTAGAAATCTTAGTCCAAACCAAGCCGATCCTTACCAACGGTTTTCCCTCGGTAAAACTAACAACCAACGACAGGCAGTTTCTCCAGAATAACGAGATCTGCCTATCGAACTCGAAGCTGCGAGGAGAACATCAAAATCCGGATATTCTGGTGGGTTTAGATCACTACCATAGCTTCATCCTTGACGCGAATGTGAATACCACAACTCCATCTGGCCTGAAACTTGCAAAAACTGTGTTCGGACCATTGCTATACGGAAGAGGAATGCTCGAAAATTCAGATCCCACTCTTGTCACCTACAATATGACAGCTGTGACTACCACGAAAGAAGCTGAAATGCTCGAGAACCTGTTCGAGCTTGAAGGTTTGGGTATCTCATCAGGTGAAACGTCCAAAAACGAAGAGGCGTTTAGCTATCTAGAAACTTACTCAAAGCAAATATCATTCGCAAACGGGTATATCACAGCACCTTTCCCATTGAAGGAGAACCATAAACGCCTAACAGACAATTATCCTGTCGCTCTAAAAAGGCTGTTTTCCCTGCACAAACAACTAGCCACAAACAACACGCAGAAAGAGTGGTATTGCAAAACCATTGCCGATTATGTAAAAGACGGCATCATCGAACAAGTAACGTCAGATGTTAGAGAATGTGCAGGTACATACTATATGCCACATTCAGGCGTATGGCGTCCTCACAAACCCAAACCATTACGTGTTGTATTTGATGCTTCTTCGAAAAAGAAGGGAGAACTATCACTCAATGACGTGATGTTCAAAGGTGAATCCTTTATAAGAAAAATCCACGATATCTTGATTTCGAGCCGTATGAGCAAAGATATCGTACTATGCGATATCGAAGCAGCATTCACCCAAATACGACTTCACCCGTCTCACAAAGATTTCTGCAGGTTCCTTTGGGTGAAAAATCCTGAAAATCCTCCAACAAAAGATAATATCGTAGAGTATCGCTTCAATAGACTGCCGTTCGGCATAACTGCATCTCCAAGCATATTGAACATGGCACTAATGACCTATCTCAAAGCAAACAATAGCAAACTCGCAAACGAGATAGCTAAGAACTTATACGTCGACAACATCCTACTTCACGCAAATTCCACACAAGAAGCTTTGCGCAAGTATCGAGAGTCAAAAACACTTTTCGCAGAGATAGGGATGAACCTGCGAGAATTTGTATCTAACAATGAGGATTTCAATCAATGCATTCCTCAAAACGATAAAATTCCAGGTGGGATCATAAAGTTTCTTGGTGTCACCTACAACACAAACGAAGATAAGTTCATGGTCAAACTAAACTTCCCTCAAAAACTTAATCTGACAAAAAGAGATATCGTGAGCCAACTAAACTCAATTTATGATCCTATCGGTCTAACCGCACCGCTACTCATAAAACTAAAATCTCTCATGAGGGAAATCTTCGATGAAGTCTCCGACTGGAACAGCAAGCTTTCGGTGAATCTAATGAAGAAATGGAATTCCGCATGCCAGGATGTCAACGATACTGTTGTCTCAATTCCAAGATACATTTTACCCAGCGAACAGCATCTCCCACCAAAAACTCTTAGTTTGTGGATTTTCGCTGACGCGAGTATGATGGCAACAGCAACGTGCGCCTACCTAAGAGACGATTCCACAAATCAGATTACATCCTTGATAAGCGGAAAAACTAAACTCGCCCCAAAAAAGGCTAAGCAAACGATACCTAAGCTAGAACTGCTCGGTATAGTCATAGCACTTCGTTTAGGAAGTACCATCCTTGAAGCCATAAACACAAAAATCCCTCAACTTCACATAGCCAGCGACAGCGAAATCGCTCTCGCATGGACAAGAAGCACGAAGAAGTTACCCATATTTGTAGAAAATCAAAGGAACACGATTGAGAAAATTAAAAGAGAACTTGAAAGAAAAGGTGTTACGCTAACCTTGCATCATGTAGCAACCGCGTACAATCCTGCGGACGCAGGAACAAGAGGAATTACGTCCTCTCAAGCTCACGACCACGACTGGATTCACGGTCCTAGATGGTTAACAAAATCAGAGCATCACAAAATACTCAGGCAACTTTCCGAGTTGTCTGAGGACAACGAAGAAAAAGACGAAACTTCAACAAATGTGGTCGTGCAAAACGACTATCCAGCAATCATGGTTAGGCAAAACGAAGTCCTAGTGGATCTATCAAGATTTTCCAAGTGGGATAGCGCACTTAGAACTACGTCAAATGTAGGAAAGTGCTTACATCGATGGATAGAGCGGGTAAACCGCAGAAGAAGTACTCCGCTTAGCACAGAGTTCATTAACAAGTTTGACACTAACTTTGATATAACAGCGTCTAACATGCAACTCAGTGAGCGTATTATCTTCCAGCAAGAACACCGCTCTATTTCACTGGATGAACTCCAAAAAAGATTCCCTCAAAAAACCATAGTTAGGGATGAAAATGGAGTGATTCGACATGAATCACGCTTACAAAATGCACTAATGGACTTTGACACAAAATCTCCCATATATGTTAACCCCAAATCTGACTTAGCTAGGTTGATAATCCGTGATATACACTGCAAGAACGCTCACTGCGGCAAAGATCAAACGCTGTGCTTAGCAAGGCAGCGATTTTGGATACCTCGACCATCCAGCGCTTACAACAAATACATCAGGAACTGTACCACCTGCAAACGATATCAAGGACTCCCATTCGGAGCCCCAGCAATGCCTCCTCTTCCTGGAGATAGAGTCAAACGTTCACGTCCATTCGAGAACGTGGGCTGCGATTTCTTTGGTCCAATCTTCGACAGGAACGACGGGCGCATGTATGTTTGCCTTTACACGTGCCTCACAACTCGGGCAGTTCACTTGGAAGTTGTCGAAAACATGTCTACCGGAGCGTTTCTTGATTGCCTCGTGAGGTTTGTCTCACGTAGAGGAGTACCCAAGCTAATACGCACGGACTGCGGCACCAACAAAAATGTCGTGTGTGCACGAAGGTGGTTAGTGGTAGACTGTTTTATTCTTATCAGCATAGCACAAGAGGGCGTAGCGTCCAAAACGGACGCTACGCAAACATGAATTGATATCCCGGGTCGCATTTTGCGGCGCAAATGCGACCCGGGATATCAATTCATGTTTGCGTAGCGTCCGTTTTGGACGCTACGCCCTCTTGTGCTATGCTGATAAGAATAAAACAGTCTACCACTAACCACCTTCGTGCACACACGACACCCATTGAGGAAACAAAGTTCAAGGAATTGCTCCAGAGGGGCTTCGCAGATCATGATCATAGATGTCTATAACGCTTCTATGGTGGAGCAACCGCGTATCCTCCACGGGTAGATAGAATAATTCCCCGCAAAATAGCGCAGACATGCAGAGACAAAAAAGGCGTTACTATGCGACGACGCTTTGCAGCTTCCAAGCTTCTTTTTTTGTATTTACTCAGCCGTGATCCAGAATGTTGCGAAGCACTAAGTTATAGAATCTAAAATATTCTTTTAAGTCTGGACGATATCCTTCGGATGAATTTTTTTGGTATTCGCTTTCTGTCCGCTACCTGTTGATTTGCTTGATGTACACGTCATTACCTCATTATGTCTAATTTTCTCAAGTCTATTTAGATTTTCTTGTTACGTTCAATTCAGAAAGCATCATTTCATTTATTCTTGTAGTGAAGTAGTGAAAGTTCAACGAACGAGGCGCTTACGTCTGTCTTTGAGTAGGAATATCAAAAAAATCGCAGTGCTCACTACTTCCGAAGGATGTGATCTTGCTACTTCAAACACTGTGATGTATATTTACGATATGGCTGAATGCCCTATGACTAGGATGAATGGAGAGTAAGTGGTTCATGACAAAATTCATAACAATTTCTTCTTAGACTTTCTCGCTTTTCGTTATCTTCGTTTCTTTTTGATAGTGTTGAAATTCAGGGCAATTGACAATCTCTCGATTGATGCACACCCTGTTGAACAAGCTCTTGTAATCAAATACCACGTTGACGATGGTAGATCCCGACGATCTTCCGAATGTCAGAAGCTGTTAGTTTTCCTCTATCTTTTCTGTTTCTTCTTTTCTCATATGCATTTCATATCTCTAGGATAAACCTCAAAGATCTCAATGAGGATGTGGATATTCGATTGCTCACCAATGTTGTGATGGAAAAATGCGCTCTTATACCGGAATCCATGCGAGAAGAAGTGGAGCAGGTTTTATACTATCTACAAAAGAGAGCTACGGATCGCTCTAGACGTTCGCGTAAGTGTTCTACTTATATAGTTTTTCTCGCTTGAGATTGCAGCCATGGTGATGGTATTTGATTTTTAACACTGGATATTATCCGTTAAGGTAGCGCATCGTCAGTCGGCTCACAGGAGTCAAACGCTGCTTCCCTTCCTATACGAGCTGAAATGGACCAAGTGGATGTAAGTTTTGATAATTCTAAAGGTTTTTTGATATTTGCTGGCTATTACCTGTACTTTTTTCATGCTTTCGTCCATGTGAAATGGCTACTAGTTGTATCCACACAAAAAAGTGCTGCGCACAAGTCGCAGCTTCGCTTTAGAATTATCCCATGAAGCTATCCTTGTCAATGGTGCGCTTTCAGAATTACATCGAACTATTTTACGAGGAGACGCCGGAGAAGAATCGTGGTGCTCTTTGCATCTTGGAACTGACTAAAACCACTGCTAACCTGGAAGTTCTCATAGAGAATGGTTCGTAATTCTATCAAAACTGTTTGATGGTTTTCAATGAAATTGTAATTGCATGCTTAAGAGACTCTAATCGGAGCCTTGGCGCGTGTATTCCGTGAAGATTGGAAGAAGAATTTTGATCTAGCTACCACCATAGCTCGCATTTTCGTGCAGTTCTCCTTTTACAATCAATTCCAAGCAGTTCTTTCGCATCACAAGGTTAGTCTTGCGCCCTCAGTCAATGTTTAGGGGGAGTGGTTATATTCTAGATTGGAGCACTCTGCATGAATGCCATGGAGTACGAGCTGAAGCGTGCTGACGTGTGGGCTGCAGAGGCTCAAAATTCAGACGAGAAAACTGCTCGAAAGTGCCGATTGGCTATACGTAAGCAACAGGCTTTGCTAGCGGGTAAGATTATTACAAGTCTTTTGGCTGGTTTCCTATTTTTTTCTTTCCCTGTTTTCTCTAAGACTTACGTCAGTATATCTCTTATATTTGTTTTACTCAGCATGCATATCGCTTCTCACGAATCTGGCTCATGACATCAGTGTGGAGTTAAAAATGGTGCGACGTGATATTGTGCCAATGCTCATGAAGTGCTTGACTTTTCGTGACTCAGCGGAATTGACCTTGGCCACTGTGCAGTTTCTCCTCAAGCTCAGCATGTTCGAAGAGAACAAAACGGCTCTGGTGCGTTTTCTTCCAAAAAATCATTGTACATTCATTTGCATGCCTTAATTTAGGAACAAGGCGATATAGTAAGCAGATTGTTGCAACTCTTCCCTATTGGTGATGTAGAGTTACGAAAATCTACTATACGTCTACTGTTCAACTTGTCGTTTGATCCTAAAGCTCGTGCAAAGATGGTTGCTGAGGGCTTGGTCGCACATGTGGCTCCGCTTATTGAAAGTATGTTCATTATTTTTGATTTTTACGATTACTATCATATTCATGTTTTAGACGATGCTAAAGCATTGAATCTCCTTTACCAGCTGAGTATAAACGACGATGCGAAGGCTATGTTGACTTTCACCGATGCCATGCAACTGGTAAACTTCAGTCATCTGCAGAATTTTTCCTTACTCGGAAATTCCAGCTGATGCGTGATTTGCTTACTGGCAATGGTAGTGAAGTGACAAAAGCTGTATTGCTGAATGCTTGTGCTGAAAAGAGGAATGCGCAGCTGGTTTGCGGTCCAGACGGCCAAGGGTTTCTTTTGCATTTGCATTCCAATTTATTTGATATTTTCTTTCAACTTCTTGCATACCTATTCACTCTAAAAAATTTCGTCTTTGTAAACTCCTCTACTTTGTGATGGAACACGCAAAATTTTCCATTATTTGAGATATCGTGGTACATTTGGTACTACTGGTCAATCGTTTTCAAAATTTTGCATATTTATGTGTGCAGTCATATGTGTCAAAAATAAACATTCTCTTTTTAGGCTCAGTCTTCTCTTGGATGCAGCGCTAGATGGTCGCGATTTGATGGTAGCCAAGATTGTTCGCAGCATCGCATGTCACGAGGGACCAACACAAGATATGTTTGTGGTATGACTTGAGCTTTATTCCTACTTTCCGTGCAGAAGAAACTATTTTCTTACTCCTTGCTTAAAGAGTGTAATGCCTCGCCTTTTGGAGGCGGGCATGAAAAATTCAATCATGCCCGAGGACGAGAACGCAGCGTTGGGACTCGAATTCATTGCTACTGCAGCCGTTATTAGAGTGGCCAATTGGAGCAAGTCAGTATACATCTACTAATTGTCTACTATGACCTGCATGTACCTTATAATGTACTTTGTAGTCTCTGCACATCCCACGACCTTGTGAAATGGATGGGGGAACGACTAAAGACGCCCGCTGGTCAGATCGAGCCGTTGCAACTCCAGGTATGTACAATGAATATCATCTATTCTTCCCGAAGATGATCGCTTAGGTTGTTATAATGTGCGGCACAATGGCTAGACAAGTTGATGCTGCTAGAAACTTGGTTCCACTTTTGGACGTCTTTCTTCAGCTTCTCCATTGTAGGTGTCAAGACTCTCAACCTTCTTCTGCGTTGGCACATTTCTTTCTAGCTATGCAAGAAGATGATGAATTTGTGGTGCAATTGTTATACTTGTTCCTGCAGCTGTTACGGCATAGGGAATTGGCAAATCGCTTGATGGGAGCTGATTCAGCATTGGGAGCCTACGTACTCGATCTAATGCACGATAAGAATCCAGCAATACGAGAAATGTGCGACAATGCTCTTGTGATTATAGGAGTGAGTTGTGTTTTTTATCACTCAAGAAATTGAGGCGAATTTTACTATCAGGAGCATTCCCAAGAATGGGCTCGTCGGATCGCTGGTGAAAGATTCCGTTGGCACAATGCGCAGTGGTTGGATACTATCGAAGGCGGTATCGCTTGCGATGAAGGTGCAGTAATGGACGATGATTATGTGCCTGGCATGTTGTTCGATGACCAGTTCGATGATGGCTTTGATCTTAATGTTGATGAACCACTATTTTGACTTACTATGTGCTTTCACTGATTGTTTTGCAAGTGAATAGGTGTGCTTTGTTCATTTAGTAGCTTGGCGGAGCCCCCTTTTTCTTTCTTGGAGTGGGTTAGTGACCAGTATCGAATTAAGGACATGCGCGAAAATCACTGAACTGATTTTTATCGTCCTAATCGTTGCGCAGTGTCTGCTTCGAATTATCCCTTTGATACATGACACTTATTCAATTGCGTCAGCACGCGCACAAGAGTCAAAATGTTGAATCTTAATGTCCTACTTTCCATATCTCTATGTAATTATTCGTTTCTCGATTGTGGACTAGTCATACCTGCCTTTCAAGATGTGTTAACTGTTTGCATAATGATATCTGCACGAGTTAGAAGCTGATCTCAATGAATCGTTTTGAAACAAACATGCTTTGAATTTCCGGTTGTTGACTCAGTTCGAGGCTGTGTATTCTTGATTCAACAAAATATGCATTTTTCAAGATTACCAAGGTTTAGATGGGTATATCCTGGATTTGGGCCTCGCTGAACCATGCTCAGGTAGGCTTTTCGAACAAATCACTGTCCTCGTCTAATGCGACTTTCATGCTCAGTTGCTTTAGGGAGAACGAGGGCTTGCAGCTTCTGCTGCTTGCCTGTGTTGTGTATTCGTGCTAGCTTACTGTGTATCTGTTAGCCATTCTATAGGTAAGATTTTTCTCTTCCATTTAAACTGTTCAACTTTCATTTGGTTAAATGCTCAAAAAGGTGTAATTGTTTGTATTTTTAGTTTTGATGGCTGCCATGTGGATCTCTATCTTTGCCCTATGTTCGTTGTTATCGGCCTTATACTCTATGACTATCACTCACAAACCCATGGAGAAGTTTAGTTATGGTCTTGCGCGGGTTCCAGTTCTAGCAGTGTTCAGCACCACGGTAGGTTTTCTGTGTAATTCCAAATTACTAGTTCATACGTCGCACTTTCAGGTACTAGCACAACTTTTCTCCATTTTTCTTTCAAAAGAGTCATTTGAACATATGCTCTCACCGGATCATCAAGGTTCCCATGAGCCATCAAATAGCGCACATGAACATGGCCCGGAGAGTGTGGGTAAGCAGATGAACATTACCCTTTTGAAATTTCTTGCTATTCAATTTAATGTTGCTGCCTTATATGCTCATCTTCGAATTTGTTCGTCACAAAAAGAATCTTGAAACATCGAAGGTGGTAGCGCACTTTCACCAAATGATTCTTTACATATGCAGAATATAATTGGATCTTCATGCAGGTGGATGGCCATATTTTCTTGGCGCTGGAGCCTCTTCCATAGCTTTGCTGATATCTGCATATTCTCTGAAAAACCAGCCGTTCAATCATGTGTTAACTGCATCGAGCAGCTCAAGTTTACAGGTGGTAGTTGTACCGATAAGTTCAAGTCTATTATATCAACTTTAGGAGCATGCTGCCGACATCTGCCATGCCATTTGTTGGGTCATTCCCGGTCTGTCCAGACTTCTCCTACCTAGGATTAACTCCATGGTATTACTAGCAACAGTCACAAGCTGTTTACTCATCCTTTGTGAACAATTCAGGTAGTATCATTCACTTGCTTTTTATGATATTTTATACAGTATCTCTGTAGACATGATTTCGCTTGGGCGGATCCAGTGTGCTGTCTTTTCTTGTGCGTTGCGGTTTTCTCCACAATGTGGCCGTTGTCATCCTACACAGGAATGATACTTCTACAAACGGCTCCGCCTCATTTATTGAATCAGATTGATAGGTACTATATTCTTCGTTTGTGATGGTTTTGTGTAATTTATTATTTATTGTAATTTATATTTATATATTTATTTTTATATAGTGTATTATTTATAGGTGCATTTCTGAAGCGTCCACCATTGATGGAGTCTTGGAAATTCGAGCGCGACATTTTTGGCAGTTGGATTTTGCACAGTTGGTGAGGAAGACATTCTGTTTTTAAATATTCAATATTCATTCATCATTCTTCTCATCTATGCTTTCTTTAAAAGAATAACGTCTCTTACGTCTTTGCTCCTCGTATGTTCTTCATCTAGGTGGGAACTGTTGATGTACGAGTTCGACGAGACGCCGATGAGCAAAATGTTCTGACTTTGGTTACAGATAAAATGTCGTCTGTTGTCAGCATGCTAACTGTGCAGGTGATAATATTTGTTGTAAATTTTTCTATTCATTTATATCCGAACTGAAGACGTTTAGATTGTCAAAGATGCTGCATGGAATATGGAGGGTATGAATTCTATGAACTCGATTGCCTCTGATGTAGGTTCTTTCGAAAGGAAAATCTTTACTGCATTTCTGCTCCGAAAGTTCCATGTCTGCTGATAGATGATTAACTTTCCTCCTTGCTTTCCTCAATGAGCTTTCCTATCAAGGCTTTTATGGGCGTTGCTTTTGTTATTCTAGCCAAACCCTCTAGCAATAAGATAAACTTGTCTCAAAGCTTGTAAGATCACGACATCATATCCCCTCTTTAGCCCCATATTCACGCCCATGATGATGATCACGGCCATGGACATAGTCATGGTCACGGCCATAGTCACGACCACGATCATGACGATGATGGAGGTAAGAGCCCGAAATTCTGTGGCATACATGCTTTGTGGCTAAGTTCATGATGGATATTCAATTTCTTCGAGGTCATGGACATTCACATTCCAACCCAACCGGACATGGACACTCACATGGATCGGCACCCCACCTGGGTGCACACGCGTCCAATTATGGAGTGAATGCTACTCCGGGCTTCCCCAACTTCCAACAACCTTACGGCAATCCTTCAAATAATGCCGCAGCACATGGTCATACGCATGATGGAGTAACCTATCATTGATTTTATTTTAAGTTTTTAAGATTTTGGCATCATCCTAGTTTGTGACGACGATGTTTGCATAGCTTATTTATTTCTACTATTTATACATATCCCATATGATAGGGTATTCAACTGTGTTGAAGTTTTATCTTGTTATTTTTCTATGCGATGCAGTCATTTTATCATGTGTTACTTTGTTGAAATGTTATTATTTGCATTTTCTGTGATGAGGGCGACGGGATAAATGGGTCATCTTCTAGAATCTATAGTATTGGCAGGATGTCCTTACAGATGTTTCTGTGTAAAACGTCAAATGGGCACCATCGATCTTTTCCCATGGTCTGTGATAATAATTTTTTGAGAGCTTCACTTGAAAATCTGCCTCCAAACGTTTGCCAAAAATCTATCGTAAACTTGCAAAATGTCTTTCGGGAACATACTAACAAACAGTGGGTCGGTTGTCTCAAATGTGTTGAGGAGCTTAAATTTTTTTTGAAGTCTCTCGAGAAAAAGTACACTTTTTCACTGAATACATAGATCAGTTTCGAAGTTTTCGCGACATTGAGCCTCCTGTAAGGCAAGAGCTGTTGATAGTCGTTCATACTCTTTGTGCATTGTACTTATGACTCTCATTCTTTAATAGGTACTAGGGCGCTGGAGTTATTCTCTTCTTATCGAAATTACAAATTTTTGCGGAGTGAGCTCTTGTTGAATTTATATGACTCCGAAAGTCACTTTCCTTTAGTTCTGTAAAGTTCCAACCTTACCAAAGAAGGCATTTACTTCTTTGCTGCGCCAAGAAAAATCAGCTTGTTATCTCCTTGTACGGCATGCTCTATTAAAATTTTTGCGATCTACTCCTTTAAGATCCCGATAACGGGTTTTTTCTGTTAGTTTTTACATCAAAAGTGCATTGGTGACATTCATCTCAAAGTTGCTCGCTCTCTTCTTTCTTTGCAGATTCTTACCTCCTGCAGAGTATTGTTCCTCATCTCTTGATTTGAAACGGCGCATAGATCATTTATAAAATTGTGATGACGGTCTTTGCGCCCATCGGAGCAAAAAACATCAAACATAAAGGTGTCCTTCAACGCTCAGCTCAGTCACTTCCATGTCTAATTACTACTATACGTAAGCAGAAAAGTCATTTGAGTAGAGGTGAAACTAAGAAAACGCTGTTACAGGAAGCGCATGCTTGCCATGCGCGGTCGCGCCATTGGCGTCGTCACGATTTTTCGAATGCCCTTCATCCGAAAAATCAACCTACAATGGAATTCGAGTTTCCAACATTTTAAAAACACTGAATTTCGAATTCACGGTTCAATAATCCCAACTTATTGGTTCCTTTGAACAGTATCTGGCAAAGGTCGCAACACCCGCTGCCGATGGGCGGGTCGACCCGCTGAAGTTTACCTTTTGCAGAACAGTTTTAGTAGGGGTTCCATCGTTATTTCATCAAAATCTCCACAACCTTAAATTTGGGTGGACGTTGTCTTCAATCTCTTGTCTAACGACTGAAATATTCACGTTAAAGAGTGGTGTTCATGGATTTCGAAGGAATCAATCTAGAGAGCTAACGCTGAGAGTCTGACCAGTTTCCTGAGCCTTTTTTCTAGCGCTAATATTACTCGTAGATATTATCATGCTCCAAAAAACGCGTAAGACGCGAAATCTCGTCTTAAGCATAGTCTCTTTGTAAAACAGTTCATAATCGACAGTTTCGATGAAAGCTTACATAAAATGAATAAAGTTACGTTGTACCCTTTTGAGCTCGAATTTAATTTCATAGAATCCGTTTTGCAAGGCTCGGTTGACATCTTGAGTGATTTCGTTTCCAGTAATCGTTTGGATCCTGTTAGAATTTCTCTCTCTCTCTCTCTCTCTCTCTCTCTCTCTCTGCACTTCTTCTTTCTCCGATTTCTTGGAATACGGGTTTTTTCCGAATATTTACCCATCGACTTTACCAGTCGTTACCCAGAGTTCCCAAGAAGATATAAAATTTTTTCTTGATGGCTGTCTTAAAAAAGCCCCTTTGCCAAGTAACAACTTAAACATGCCTTTCGAAAATGTCTTGGATGATGCTCAGATTCTTCGGAAACTTGTAATCTTAGAATTCTAGACAGGAATAACGGCATCCAGCCTGTGAGTTTTACAATTTAGTAATACAAATATTGATAAAAACATAACTTCTTGCATTTTTGTATCATCCCCCTCTGTCTATGTCTTCCACATTGGCTTTATATTCTGAAAAACGCAAAAAGGGGACTTAGTTGTACATTTTGAGGTAATTCGTTTATATTCAAGCATTTAAACTCGAACATAAATTTCGATGCCAAAAAAATATTTATGGAGATTTATCAGGTGTATTTGAGCGATGAGTTCCAACTCGGCTTCTGACACTCCGGAAACCAAAACCTACGGTGGTTGTGAAGGCCCAGATGCGACATACGTGAAGTTGGTCAGCAGCGATGGACATCAGTTTTTCATCAAGAAAACGCTTGCATCAATTTCTGGAACCATCAAGGCCATGTTGAGCGGATTTGGACAATATTCGGAGAATGAAAGCAATGTAGTGAACTTTCGCGAGATTCCATCACACGTGCTGCAGAAAGTCTGCCAGTACTTCTCGTACAAGGATCGCTACACTAGTTCGGTAACAGAGATTCCGGAATTCAACATCACTCCCGAGGTGGCGCTTGAGCTGCTCATGGCTGCTAATTTTCTCGACTGCTAGATGAGATGACTGAGTCGGCTGCTCACCTGATATGAGGCATACATCGAAGTTTGAACTCGCTGATGACATCTGTCTTGTCGCACTTCAAGTCATATGTCACATTTGTATCAAGTGCATTGTTCTTCGCATAATTATTTGTTCGCCCAGGGTTGCGGCTTCTACGCTTTTAGGTCCCGAAAAATATCGATTCAAAGAAAAGCAGCGCACGTTTGTCTGCCGCCCACGCGACTCAGAGGCGTCAAAGCCGCTCGCATGATTCAACGCAGCTAGACTTGATCAGATGACCGTAGAGCTTTATCTACCACTGCCTGTTCTTTATTTCGTCATGGGACCAAATTCTGCCATTTAGCTATATTCTGACGATGTCTCTAGTCTCAATTTATGAGTAGTAGTTAACAATGATGTAACAAATGTGCTTTACTTTGTCTTTGCGAATAAATATCAACACATCAAAAATTATTTTTTCAGATGAATCGGATCCTCTTCAGAGCGGTTCACACTCCAGCTGCAAGAAAAGCATTGTTAGAAAAAATTATTCGAGTGGATCATGCTGGAGAAATGGGAGCTGATCGCATTTATGCTGGACAAATGGCTGTGCTTAGTGGTACGCGCAATCAGCTGGGTGTGTCTGCTTGAAATTTATGTTTGTAGATGTGCAGGTTCGCCTCTGGGATCAGTAATAAAGAAGATGTGGGATGAAGAACGTGAACATCTAGACATCATGGAACGACTTGCAGCTAGACATGGTGCTCCTCATACTGTACTCTCACCTATTTTTGCAACGGCTGCTTATATCTTGGGTGAGTTTGATTGATTTGAAGGCAGTGTCCAGATTTAGATACTTGGGTTTCTTATGTGAAAAATGGTTGAGAAGTTCTGACTAAGTCACTATGTAAGCGGCACCTCATATGATCAAATCATGGGCGAGGAAATTAACACTAAACCCTCACCCGGACCGTACATACTCTTTGCAAGCTGGCCAGTGCGTGATTTGCTTTGAAGGCACGTTCTGGGCAAGAGTATAGAGTTGAATTTTCTAGGCAGGAATGAATTGCTTGAGTTACTGCTTACAAAATGACTCACGAGGGAAGTACTTTCAATGGCCGTGGCTGTTAATACGAGATGCATACCATCTGAACCAGCTTCGAACGCTGATTTCAAAACTGCCTTCCGTTTCTGCGGAACGCTCTTCTGAAGAGAGTTATGGAAGCCTGAACATCCTATTTTGGGGGCGCCCCTTGAGTTTGAGGGCGCTGTATGTGCGTTGGTGGTGCAGTAGTGTAATGATTACTTGCTGACATTGAATGCGAGAGATTGATGTCAAATGCGGTGGAGAGCGAGCCATTTTGCCTTTTGAATGTGAGTTTAAAAGCACTCTAAATCGTCTGCAGACACTTACTGTGATGCCTTAGCATAAACAGAAGAGAACATCTTTTCGACTAATGACAGTGTGCATTTTTTGAGCTTGATATGGTGACAAACGTGCTACGCCATTTTCGGTACTGTTCTACTAGTAAGGAAGTCAAATAGAATTTCAGGCTCTCATTACAAGCAATTTTGCCAGAAAATTGTTTTTCTAGGTCACTTATGCCAAAGGCATTACAGTAAGTGTCTGCAGGCGATTTAGCGTGCTTTCAAGCTCACACTCAATAAGCAAAATAGTTCGCTCCCCACCGGATTCGACCCATCGCCCTCTCGCCTTCAATGTCAGCAACTAACCACTACATTACTGCATCACCAGTGCACATAGCAGCGCCCTCAAACTCAAGGGGCGCCCCCAAAATAGAATGTTCAGGCTTCCATAACTCTCTTCAGAAGAGCGTTCCGCAGAAACGGAAAGCAGATTTGAAATTAGCGTTCGAAGCTGCTTCAGATGATATGCATCTCATATCAAAAGGCCACGGCCATTGATAATACTTCCCTTGTCAGTCAAGTCCTTCCAGTCATTATCAATTCAAGAATTCCAAATACCCAAATTCGTCTAGACATCTTTTCAATGTTTTTTTTTTCAAATTTTGCGTAAATTCCCAGTTACTACAGGAATTGGCACGGCCCTCCTTGGCAAGGAGGCAGCTATGGCGTGTACTGTTGCTGTTGAGGAAGTTATTGGACGTCATTACAATAGACAAATAGAAGGTACATCCCGACTCTTTTAAACAGGACCTTTCGAGCAAAAAACGCTGGGTTATAGAGTTAATAGCTGATGATCCTGAAGTCCATAAGGATCTTTTGAAAACGCTGAGCAAACTTCGGGACGATGAATTGCACCATTATGAAACTGGAATTGTGCACGATGGTTTGAAGGTAAGGAAAGAGTTGGTTTCTTTCTATACCTCGAGCAAAAATGTAATAGAGGCAGCCGGAAGTAAACTTGCAGCGCCAAAACCTTCTTCACAAAGTAATCCCAATTCATGAATCATCTTCTATCAAATTTATTCACAAGTATAATCAAGTCATTTTTACAGTTGTAAAATGCACGACCACCAGTGCACGACCAAAAACATTGCTACCCACTCAGACAGCGGATAGGACCCCTCCGCCGGAGAAATGGCAGGGTCGCGGCGTTTCCCCAGCGGTGGGTCTCCCATTTGTCCGGCGGAGCCCTCCCATTTGCCCGGCGGAGCCCTCCCATTTCTCCGGCGGATACCTCCTATTTTCTGCTCCGGATACCTCCCATTTTCTGCTCCGGATACCTCCCATTTTCTGCTCCGGATACCTCCCATTTTCTGCTCCGGAGGCCTCCCATTTCTGCTCCGGACCCCTCCCATTTTCTCCGGCGCGGAGTCCGCCAAATCTGGCAGAGTCGCGCCGGAGAAATGGCGGACCTTTGCAGCAGGGCCGGAGAAGCCTCCCACTTGCCTGCCAGTGATGTCACCGCGATGGACCGCCCATTTGCCCCTCTCTCATTGGTCAACTGGATCCGGCGCGACTCTGGCAGTTTCGGACTGTCCGGCGGAGGGGTCCCGTCGATTGTCTGAGCATGTGGAGGGGGGGGGCTGACCGCCACTGATCGTAAAATATTGTCATTTTTTGCGATGAGATGGTCAATTACTTCAGAAGTACACTCATCAAGATCATAGCCCTGTTGTCTTTTTTCATTGGGAAAAATGTAATCTGCACAAGAAGGTCTATTTTATCTGACTTTTACAGTTTTAAGAAATAATGTTGGGATGCATCATTCCAGTCAGCCTTGATCATATTCTATTGCAGGCACCGGCGTACGATGTTTTGAAATGGGTAATCCAGACTGGTTGCAAAGGGGCTATCTCGATTGCCGAAAAGATATAAAAGACTTGAGATTTGCTTCATTTATTTTATATCATATTTTTCTGTTTATTTTTTTTCTTACCAGCATACCTCTACTGTGGTTTCTCATCAAAAGAAAACCACTATCTATTTGTTATCTCTTGAACTGATGTTTTGGAGTTCAAAATCTGTCTTACTGATGAAATTCTAGATGAGTTTGGCCCCAGTAGTTTTAAATTCCTCAAAATGGATGCCTTTACGTTGTTTCTGTTGTTGGTTGTTTGACCGTTCATAAATTTTATGCTAAGAACCGCTCAATAAGGTGTCTAAGCTTAAGGTTATAAGTGGGCGTGGCGAAAGGCGGAGAAAGTCAAAAAAGGGACGCGGCGGAGGGCGGAGCTAGTATTTTTGTTATATTTACGCGTAAATGCTCAATACTGCTCTTTATTTCCATAACAGAGCACTATACAAACAAAGGACAACATTAAACACAAGAAGAAAATATTGGCAATGAGTGAAGCTAACAACAGCGTGGAGAGGTCAGCACGAGTCTCAACAACGGCCAGTTTCCCAGGTTTCTTCACAGTGGTGTTGGTAGAATTTGTCTCGCAAAGTATGAGTGATTTCCTGGCTAAAGTGGCTGAACGTAGCCGACGATTCGCGGCGCAGCCTGAACGAGGAAGGTTGGGATCAAGATTGTGTTTGGAGTTGCCTGTGTCAGCACCGTGCCAGCACATAGATCAATCGATATGGATTGGGTCCATGTGAGTGCTGGCACGGTACTGGCATGCGGGCAGATTTAAACCCAATCACGCACCATTAATTAGCTCTTTTGCATCCACGCTTAGATCTTTGACCTGAAAATTGCTTACCATTATTTTTCTCCAAATCGCGATAAATTTCCATCTCTTCCAACATCCACTCGTATTGTTCACGACAGTATGAAAAGCCCTCACGCTCCATCCTTTCGTCATTCCATGGCGATACTAGGTGGCGGAACGACGAGGACCTACACACATTCTTATGGGAGGAGAATGTTTAGGTGCCAAAGAATGTTTACAGTGCGCGAAGAACATCCTACTGTAATTGGCATACTGTAATGTAGTGTTTTGGCAGCTTGAGCATTTACCTTTGGTATAAACTGTGTGCTACAATCTAGACGACGGGCTTTATTCCTCGACCCTCATCTACTCTCCCTTAAACTATTCGAAACGGGGTAGTCACTTTCGAATCTCAGATTTCAATATGCAGTATAAGTTTTGGTAAATATTTGCATTCAAACGGTATCTCATACTTCAAAAACTGATCCAACCGAGTGCTTTGTTACTATTCTTCTCTGTTCAAATTTTGTCGATTTTCCTTACCTATTTCTCAAATGCATTGCCCAATAATACGGTGTGCACGGCTCTTCAGTCCATAAAGGTAGTGAGGTAGTGGTTTGGAAAAGTTGACGTATAAGCCGAAAGTTGTCTGTGGAGAGGAGAAAGAGGGATGGTGGAAATTCCTGCAAGCATTTTTTTGGAGTAGGTTTTTTTTTGGAATTACATGATGTTTGAAAAAGCGGGAAAAGAAAAAAGGATTAGTGAAATGGCAGTTGGGGCTAGCAGTAAGTACTCGAAACTTCTTTATGTCTCTACGACGCATCGAACAAAATAGAAACAAACAAAGTGCAAATGAATCTGACATAGTCGTTGAATTAGATTTATTCACATAATGAAATTATTTAGGAATATGCGCAGTTTATTATAGCCCTCGCCCCCTAACCGTGCTCCTTTTTATCGCCTTATATCCCCCTTTCCCTTGGGGCTTCTTATGCTCAGTTGTTGACACAGGATTCATATACCCAGAAGAAAAAGAAATGGAAAAAAGTTATACATGATGGGAGGGGGAGGGAAGCGAAGTTGCGAGATTTTCAAAAATGTTAAGAATGAGAAATTCAAACTAGCAAATCACTTGTTTGTTTTTGCTGATAATTAAGATCTTTTCAGAATCCGCGTATAAAAATTCTAAAGTCTCTTGAATAAGAAATTTCAGGAAATGCATGCCGTTTACTAATCGCAGCAAGTTTTGTACGGGTTCAGGTCAAAAAACTTTAAGAAACTTTTAGTATTTCGGAAGGCGTGATCAACAATACCATCGTTCTAATGCAGAAGAAACTTCATTTCTGTCAAGAAATGTTTGCTACTACGTTCACAACAGTTTGTCGAAAATACACTTCAGAGTATGAACTTACCATCAAAGGATTTCCGTCAATTTTGATTTGCGAAAGGCCTGACAATAGCGCGATTACCTCGGGTGGTAAAGAAGATCTATGATGTAGCATATTGTTGGCGACGTTCAAACTAAAATTTTAATTCTAAAATTTTACTTTTATATTTAGAATTATCAAGGCACCACTTACTGGGTTAATCCACAATTTTGGGTAACTGCTATCGGTACCGAGGTAATATTTGTTGCTTCCAAATCGAGTGTTTTTAACGACTTCAGTGGGAGGAAAGCAAAAGGGTCGATAGAATCCAGAGGTGTGTGAGATAGCGTTAGCGACTTCACTGTTCCAAGTCCAGCAAAATGTTCGGGGTTTAGCTTCTAAAGGAATTGCTTATGTACATGAAGAACAAAAGGCAGTGTTCTCGCAGACGTGAGTATCTGACAATAAGTTTCTTAGTTGAAAATTAACACGTTTCGGACCGCGAAATCGCGCGCGGCGAAAAAGAATGTACTTTCAGCCGTTAGCCTACAAAGGGACCTTATTCCGCAGCCTGTGGGCCACATTTGTAATCAGCATATCAGATAAGCTCGATATCCAAAGTTCTGAGTGAATTCGAAGTGTTTGAATTTTGTCGCTTGAGAGGGACTTTTGTGCTTTCTTGAAAGATAGGAACAAGAGCTTAGATTCTAATAGTATTCAAAAGTATCTACGTTGTACACGGCACACATCAGTATTGAAACTACGGTTTTTCTCTTTGATATCGAAGCAAAGGAAAGTTGCGACGTCGCACGCGTCGTTCGCGTCGCCGCACTTCGTTGCAATTGTTGTTCGATTTGTGCTCATATCTCCGAAACAAATATCGGCGGCACAACTCTACAGAGTCATTTGAAAAGTAGGAGGTTAGACCTTTGACTTAACAACTTTAGACTGAAAGGAAACCTTCTGCAAACGCCAGAAAGATCCCTCAAAGCAGCGTGCTGCACCATGTGCAGCACCGGTCCGAAACGTGTTAATGTGGAAGGAATTAGTCGAGACATTGCCCAGACGGCACCTCATACAGTGCTGGCCATAGCTATAAAGCCACCCTAAAAACCACTGTAATTTGCTCTCTCTTGCTCATAATTGACTTAAAAACCACTATTTTGTGCGCAAACTAACGTCACACCACTGACCAGAACGGCTCCCAATTTTATTGATTTTGGCCGGAGAAAAATTAAAAAATTTGAAAAAACGGGTTCCGAAGGTTTGTCACAGCTATAAAGCCACCTCTCATTTTCAATCATTACTGCGTTTTGTGAACCTCAAATTTTTTGTACATATACAACATCAAAATATGAAACATTTGTTACACTTGGAAGGAGTCGCCTTTCAAAAAGAAGATTCGTACTGCATTTTCTGCTCTAAAATGCATGATAAGTCACATTATTTGCAAAGAACTGCTTTTTCACTGAATTTTGAAGCACTTGTTTGACTCGGATGAAGGTTCTAGGATTTGTTTGGCCTTTGCAATGAAATGTGAAAAGTGTTGAACTGAAAATTGCGTAGTCGCTAATCTTGATAAACGAGCCCTCATCTTACCGAGGTGTAAGCACGCTTCTGAGGCGCAAAACTCGACTTCTGACGTGCGAAAACTTTTGGTTGGAATTTGACACCTTGTCTGCATGGCGACGTACTCATGCAGAAGCTGTCAGGTTTTTTCGCAAAGACGAATTTGCCGCACTAAAGTTAGAACGCTTTGTCTGCAGTTCGGTTGTGCGCAGTGTATCTCACAAGACTTCAGATTTCACTGCTTTGAACTCCTCATCAAGTCAAATCTTACTAAACTGTCAGGATTTTGAAGTTTTGAGCGGTTTTCCGCTCGATCGAGGTGGTTAGAGTGGATCATGATCAGACGGAGTGCACCACTCATTTTTGGAAAAAAGGCGTCCAAAACGGAACCAGAATCCTCAGAGTTGCGATGACGTGCAAGCTATGCGCACGAGTCTATCGTTGTACAAGCGACGTGCTGAGCACGCGACAGAGCTTTTCGGGCATTAGAACTCAATTTCTGCGGTTCAAAAACTCGTCTACCTGGAGGTGAGGTTGGGGTTCGTTTGTCAATATCATGGACTAAGCAATGTTGACTCAAGCGCTTTTCGCTGTATTCAATGCAAAGGCTCGGCAAAGCCTAGAACCTTCATCCGAGTCAAACAAGTGCTTCAAAATTCAGTGAAAAAGCAGTTCTTTGCAAATGATGTGACTTATTATGCATTTTGGAGCAAAAAATGCAGTATGAATCTTCTTTTTGAAAGGCGACTCCTCCAAAGTGTAACAAATGTTTCATATTTTGATGTTGTAAATGTACAAAAAATTTGAGGTTCACAAAACGCAGTAATGATTGAAAATGAGAGGTGGCTTTATAGATGTGACCAACCTTCGGAACCCGTTTTTCAAATTTTTCAGTTTTTCTCCATCCAAAATCCATGAAATTGGAAGCCGTTCTGGTCAATGGTATGACGTTAGTTTGCGCACGAAATAGTGGTTTTTCAGTCAATTATGAGCGAGAGAGAGCAAATTACAGTGATTTTTAGGGTGGCCAGCATTTATAGCTTATAGCTATGGCCAGCACTGTATGGCCAGTTCGGAGCCGTGTAATGCAATTTTAAACTTCCGCCCGGCACCGTACTATGCGCGCGGACCAATCAGCGTACGGTAATGGGCGAGACCACGGCGGTGAGTTCCTCGCTCACGAATGGATATTGTAAATTGCTGCTTGGGCGCATCCAGTTTTGCATAGCACCGCTAAACGGAGTGCTTACCGTAATCTTTGTCCCGCTGAGCTTTAACCATTTGAGCTTAGTATTCCGGTGAAAAGGCTTGTATGGCAGGTGTTTGAATGGATTATGGCTGAGGTCCAAAACTCTGAGTTCTGTACAGAGTGCAAAAGTGTGAGCTGCTAGGCTACTTATCTAAACCGCACTTTCAAAAATTCTCACAAATAAGCATTATTTACACCTTATTATGGCTCAGATCGATGTCATAGATGTCTTTGCTCAAGAGAACATGCTT